GGCGAAAATGTATTGTTATAGGCGATATGTTGTATTCAAAGTTAACAACAAATCAAAAAACTACCCAATTTCATGGCCGGATAAACTCGTGAGCAATACAACACGGCCAAAGCGTCTTTGAGAAAGCCAACTGTCAATTGTAGAACCGAGCCAAAAACCTGTAGTCTCAATCAAGGGAAAACATGTGTCATCTGTAATGTTTGGTATAAAATTATGTGTACCTTTTTTTTTTATATTAGAAAACAACATTTAATTACAATATATATATATATATTGTATATGCTGCACGGATATGGGAAAACACTCGGTATCGGCACCCGACAAATTATGTGTACCCACCATACAGTTGGAGGCCCTAATACAATAATCTAATATTTTTTAAGTAAAACATGTAGTTTTTTGTAAAGAGGAAACATTATTAGAATACATTTTAGAATAACTTTCATAACGGCTCAATCAAACAACTGTTCGATAAAACAAACTGTCGAATTTGGTAAAAACTGATTACAAATTAGGCCATACACCTATAGTGACTTATCTTAACCTATCCTCCTGTCTTGACTTGAACCCAAACTGTCGTGGGCGCTGTCGACGAAACCGTAAACTTTAATGATGGTTTTCCGAGATAATAATCTTGTCCCAAAGTGGATATTGTTTATTAAAATAGGCGGGGTAGAGAGGGCTCGACGATCCGTCGTGTGGGACAAACAAACAGCATAAACGTATTTTTTTGTGTACGATTTTTATTTGTGGTTAATAATAACAATACTTTAATTTACGGCGTGTCGCAACGCTCAGGATGTCCTTGGACGCCATAGCCCGTACATAATAAAATAATATAGTAATTAAACGTGTAATATAGAAAATAATAATGATTTCGAAGTAAACGAAAATTTTAAACAGTGTTTTAACAGCGACTCGTCGTCGACTATAGTGTGTGTGTCCAAAAAAAAATGTCGAGTTCCGGACAGGCGTGTAATTTTCAAAACCATAATTTACAATATTTAAAATAAGAATAATTACTATTATTGTTTAATAACGCTATTACTTTTCTATATGATATCTGAGATACTTATCGGCGGGCGGTATATAATAATAATAATATAATATTATATATACACCAATACTGGCGGCAAACTGCGGGTATTAACATTTTTAATACCCTCTACAAGCGGCGACGGTGGTGTCATGTACATATATTAATTTGTAATAATCATTATTGTTTTATGAACAGTGTATTGATGACGAAACGCGAATAGTTTAATAGATTAAAGGCCAATGTAATGACTTTCATAATTTTTTTCTATCATTATGATTTATGACTGTAATGTTTTAGTTCTCTCTTAACCGCAGCAAAAAGCGCGCGGTTTCCATCGACGATCCGAGTACAGTACAACTTAACTTAACAGCAACGATAATGATGGGTACAAATTGTTATTATTTTACAATTATTTCTACAGAGGATTCGCCGCAAATATATTGTATATTGCGGTATTATTATTAATAAAGTAATAAAAAAAAAAAAAACTGTTTATTGTAATATTAATTTTGCAATTCTTAAACAAGTACTGTGATAATTAACCACAAATATTGGGAAACAACTTGAATTATATAAAAATGTTTTATTTTGGACAGTAAATTTATTATTATCATATAAGTTCGCATTAATAAAAAAAAAAAAAATGAATAGACTTTTGTTAATTGTGTGTATGTAATAATAATTTCCCTGGTATTATTGTAATTTTTTTTTTTTTGTTTTTGTTAAACAATTAAAACATTTTGTTTGACAAATTCTCTTGGTTTCTAATGACGGCGCGGTTCACTTTAATTTACTATTATTGTATTTAATTTGTATTATTATTATTATTTTTTAGGCCATTTTGTTTTGTTTGGGTTAGATTTTGTGCTGAGTACGCGAACGGCAACATTTCGACAACAACATTTTGTTGAAGGTAAAAATGTATTATTTTGAGTTGCGTGGAAGAATATGTACAATTTTTTTTTATTATTTATTAAACGATGCAACGCTGCCGGATTTCGCAGAAACACGCTATTTTTTTTTTTTTTTTTTTTTAATACCGAACAATACAATATTATATTTATTATTATAATTTTAAAAATTATTTATAATTTGCATATGATTTCGACGAATTCGCGCGGTTGTGAAAATAATTTTTTTATTGTTGGTTTAAAATTTTATCACGTTTACCGTAAAAACATTAAGATAATATTCTCTTTTGTTTGGTTTTTAAAAAAAATTATAAAAAAACGAAACAATTAAAAAAAAAAACCGTATGTTGATTGGACGCGCAAGGACGTGTACAGCTTAGGCATTAATACCGCTAAATAATTGAGTATAATAATAACAAAAAAAAAAAATAATTATTATTATTATTTAAGAACCTCGCCGGCATTGTTTGTGCAGAAAATGTATATAATTTGTATGTGTGCGAGCTCATTGCTCGCGTTGCGTTACATTGTGTTGTATAGAAATAAATAATTACAACGCCCTCAGGCGCTGCACAATACAGGATAGTACAAACTACAACTGTAGATACTAGTGTACTATCCCCAATATTATCATGTAAATTTCAAACGTACTCACTGTTCGGAAAAATACATACGAATTTGTATTTTAAGTATGTCGAAAAAAATCGCCAACAATTGTGTATTTGATTAGTTATTGGCAATCGTTTTTTTTTAACGACTTTTCAACATTATTACGCGAGTTAATGTTTTTTGACAGTCGACTGAGTGAGCTACTTTAAGTTCTGCTTACCCTTAGTCCTAACCCTCTAAGTCTAGTTTAGGCCAAACCTTCAGTATCGCCAATACTCGTTGTATTTATGCGATTTTTGAATGCAGAGTGTAGATAGTAAAGAGAATTGGTTTTTTTTTTAGATAGATTTAATTTTATACTTCTGGCACGACATTTGTCATTAAGCACTTTAAAACAATTATGCCGACAATGATTTACAAGTAAACCGAAAACATCCTTTGTATTGCACACTGCCGGCCCCCATAGACACTTCATGCCTCGCGCGGTTGTAATCTTATGTATGATTGCTTACTATTATTGACTTGATTTACCGAAAATGTCCCATCGTAGCACCCCGATGATCTCGTTAGGGTTTTATCGAGGTAATTAATACCTGGATTGGGTTATTTTTCACAAATAGGTACAATGTGGCCTACCCTCTATTGCTGTGCCACTCTGAAAACTCCAGCTGTGACGTATTCCCCGGTCCGTGACGCGTACTACAATACGGGATTATTAATATTATTATTCGGTTATTATGTTTAAATACTCGGTTCGGCACGCCGACGGTTCCATAACTACGGTTTTACATTTTTATTAACATGAAATCGTCGAATGGGCACAATATCATCTCATTATCTTTGTGTCCGACCAGACCCAGGTTGGGTATAAAATACATCTAACATAATGCCACCACGTTGGGTCTCAACTGTACTAGTCGGTCTTATGTATGTTTATTAATATTGGATTACACAAATTGCGCAATGTAACAATAATAATAATAATTATTATTATTATTATTAGCACTATTATTATTATTATTGCCGTTTGTAAAATTACATACACATACACAATACTTACAATATTGCCGAAGGACATTTTGACCGTAAATTATTTATCCGCATTTGTTGTTGCAAAGTTAATAGTAAAAATATTACAATGTAATTAAAACCGTTCAAGAACGTAATATAATTCATAATTATCATAACAACGACCGAACCAGAGAATCCGTTTAAACCAAAGCCATCGTGGACGAACGGGGGGGGGGGGATAGGTTAGATTGAACTTAAAATCGTCTACAGTAGTACCTTGTAGTAGTAGTAGTAGTAGTAGTAGTAGGATAGTGATGTCCTGTTGTTGATTATTGGAATACGGTTTATAGAATTCAGTATTGAAGAAAATTGTAGATTGTGGATTGAAATTTGATAAATGAGTTTTGAGGTGGTCCTGTTTACCATATTGGGCCGGTCTGAACTTTTGGTCGTCGCAACTTTGAAATATTTAACACTTTAAGCACACGTTTTCGGGAAGGGATTTAAAGATATTGTCGAATCAAGACGTTTAAGTATACAAAAAAACAGTAGTCATTGACACGATCAATTGAAAGTTTTGCTGAGCATTTATCCATCTACAGCTGCTATTCATTAGGACATGAGATTTAGAATTTCGTACAATTGTTTAGATTTGAACTTTTAGAATAAAATACATTTTTATGAGAAACCGTAATTCAGCGCTGAGTGAACTGCAAGATTTACAATACAAATTTCATTGGCTAATAATATCAATTAGCATATACAAATATTATAGGACCGTCAATTTTAACAAAAAAAAAACTCTCATAAAAATGGTTATATGTCACGTAATGTAATTTGTTATCAGTGACAATTCTGATTTCTGTGCCATAACAAAACAGTGATCTTACTTAATCAAAAATCGTGCGACCCCTTATATACCCTGTATATTGTACAATAGTTTTATGATTTAGATGTCCAAAATATCCATGGCTTAGTGCACACTTGTTGTAAGTCGACTTTTTCCAAATACACTTTTCGTTGCCAATAGATAGAAAATTTATTTTTTTTGTAAAATGCCTTTAAATGTCAAATTTATATTTGTTGTGATGTTTACAGTTATACAGTGAAAACTTAGTAGCACAATCTTATTAAAAGTAAAAAATGTAATTCGCTCTCCTCGACAATATTGTGACTTATAAGTTATAAAAAAATATCAACGTAGAAAATATTTTTTCAGAACAGTAAGGTCGAACGTATTTGCCTTCGACACTCTCCCCGTCCATACGGTACCGTACCGTCTGGGCGCACGGTAGTTCGCTCCGTCCGCCGCGGCAACACTGTCCGACGGACAACCGGCGTTTTGTCGGCGTCGGCGGCGGCGGCGCTTGCTACCACCGCCGTGCCGTACACGCCAGCCGAGCCGCAGCCTGCCTCACGCAACCGACTCAGTTCCGCCGCGACCGGTGTTCTCGTCCGTCACGCGTGCGTCCGTTAGACGTTTTCTGTGCGTTTGTATTATTTATATATTATAAATATTTGAAAAGTATAAAAAAAAAACTACTCCAACAGCTACTGTTTCTTCTCTGGTCCTCGGGAAAAGACGATCGACGAGTTCCGTTGTCCGGATTTTGTTTTTTTTTTTTTTTTTTCCATCTTCGCGCGTATATTGTTGTATCTTTCCGGTTCCCATCTCGGGTCGGGCGCACCACCGACCTCGGTGGCTTTTCATACCGCGAGTTCCGTATTTTTGTTGTTTTTTTTTTTTTTTCCTGCAACCATGCAACCCAGCAACGGGTCCAAAGACTCCTCGGCACCGGTGCCCGAGAAGACCGGCGCCGCCGGTGGAAACCAACAGTTCTGCCTGAGATGGAACAACTACCAGAGCAACCTGACCAACGTGTTCGACCAACTGCTGCAGAACGGCACGTTCGTGGACGTGACCATCGCCTGTGACGGGCACACGCTGAAAGCGCACAAGATCGTCTTGTCCGCGTGCAGCCCTTACTTCCAGAGCATGTTGGCCGAGAACAAGTGCAAGCACCCGATAGTTATACTCAAGGACGTCCAGTGGCCAGAGCTGAGGGCCGTCGTGGACTTCATGTACAAAGGCGAGATCAACGTGTACCAGGAACAGATCGGTCCGCTGTTGCGCGTGGCCGAGACGCTGAAAGTTCGCGGGCTCGCCGACGTCAGTAACGAACAGCTGACCGGCGGTGGCGGTGCCGGCGAACCGCAGACCGCCGCCGCCGCTACAGTGGTCACGCCGGCCGCTACGTCCGCCGTGGCCGCGCCCGAATCACCGAAACAGCCGGCCCGCAAGCGGCACAGGCTGTCGTGCAGCCCCGAGACGATCATGTCGGAACCGGGACAGGCTGACACGCCGCTCAACTTGCACCACATGCCGCCGCCGGCGCCGGCACCGCATCATCCGACGCAGACGTCTTCGATTCCACAGGCTCAGCACCAACAGCAACAACACCAACAACACCAACACCACCAGCAACACCATCAACACCACCACCACCACCAACAACAACAACAACAGCAGCAGCACCACCAACAGCAGCAGCATCAACAACAACAACTACAGCAGCAGCAAACTCAACAGAGTTCTCAACACGTGCACCAACAACAGCAGCCGGCGCCGCCACCGCCGCCGCCTCCACAGTCTTCGATTCCGCCGCCTCTTCCGCCTAGCAGCGTGGCCGACGACTTGGAGATCAAGCCCGGTATAGCCGAAATGATCCGCGAAGAAGAAAGGGTGAGTACATGTTTTCATTAGTCACATGTTTCGGCATCGATTTGGGTTTTGACAACAATTTTTTTTTTGTATGATGAAGCCATCGTAGTATGTGCTATTTAGAGGAGACAGGCTCGAGTGTATTTTGCCTCCCAAAACTGTCTGTCTCTATACTCTAGGTACCTTAGAATGTATAGAGCTGGAGCTTTAAAAATATTTTCGGTCCTTAAACCTCATTATTTTGGTAAAATTGCACCGCTGAAAGTTTAGTGTACAAATGTCAATTATATATTTCTACAAGAATAATTGTATAATATATAACAATACTGTGGAAAAATGTTTTTTTTTATCGTATTTCGACAGGAACTGTTTTAACATAAATATTTCAACAACACTTCCTAAAAATTGAAAATTAAAAAATTTTACAATAATTATTTTAATATCCTTATATAAAATATTTATATTTATATTTTCCACCCAAGCCGGAAAAAAAATATTAATATTTTCAAAATTATATACACAAAGCGCAGCGGAAGTCAGAGATGTGTAATAATACATTTTGAGTATAAAATTTAAACCAAATGCCTTAAAATGTACTTATGCCATCGAATCAATCGAGTTGTTTAAAAAAACCTATACATGTTTTATACATTTTTTGAAGTACATTTTTTTATGTAAGCAGCTAAAAAAAATGTATTATGTAAGCAATACATTTTATCTATAACTCAACGGCTGACCGATGATGTTTTTGTTTGTTTGCTCAACACTGAATTTTAAAATATCAATATATTTATTTCGGGGGGAGGGGGTTAATATGGAAGCCTACAGAGAGTAGGACTACACCGCGCCCGTATGTATCTCTCTCGACGTACCTATTTTTTTTTTTATTATTGATGTTGTTATTTATAATAAATGTGTGTATATATATATATATATTATATACATACATTTTTTTTTTATGTTATATACATTATTATATATTTTTTTTTTTTTTGTACACACGTCGTACCGGGTAGTGTCTCTATGTAATAACACGTTTAAAAGGAGTTATCGATTGAAGAGAACAGCGTATAATATAATATTATACTCTCCTCCCCAGTTTCCCTCTTGCCGACCGTTTGTGTGTGTGTGTATAATATAATAATAATATTATATTATATTATATAAATGTGTTTCATCTCTCTCTCTCTCCGGTGCCGCCGTCGCCGCCATAGTCTCTCTCTCTCTCACTCTATCTCTTTTTCTTTCTCTCTCTCTCTAGTCATAGTTAAATGAGGCAAGTTGAATTTATTGCCGCCCCGTCTTCCTCCCGCCGCCCGTTAACCCTGTTTATTATTGTTATTATTATTATTATTACTATTATTATTATTATTAATACAACAATAACAATGGCCGACTACGGGCGGTAGAGTGACGTCACCGACGCCGCCGGCGCCGCAATTTCGTTGGCACAACTTTTACCGAAGCTTTTTACCCTCCACCGCCACAGTTAATTGCTACCCTTTTTTTTTGGGGGGGGGGGGATTTTCTCGATACAATAAAAGTAAGCCAGTGCAGTGAGTTCAGGTAGGTAACGGGTGTTCTGGAAATTTCATATCTGGAAGATACGTTTAAAAGTTTTAAAAAAAAACGCTTACACAATACGTCAGATACTCAGGTTAGGCACAGACAAAAACCATGATAGGTCGTAAACGACATTTTTGGGTTTTCCTAAATAATAAAATAAAAAAAGAATATTGTGTAGTAGGTCTACACTATAGACATACATTCGGTGCAATTTTTTGATCTAGTCCAAATAATACATTGAAAAAAGTAAGAAAACATTTATAATTATTTTATCTGATTTTCGCCAATACCTTCACAGATCCACGTCGATGCTAAATTATATTATAAGATTTTTTTTTAACACAGCGCGACCGTGTTGTGTGTGTGTGTGTGTTTCCCGGTTTCTATCTAATCAACAATGATATAATAATAATAATACGAATAAGTAATGTCATTGACGATATATATATATATATAATAATATTAAATTGTACTTAACTATTAGATACATATTTTATAATAAGATAAGATAAACGATTACATATTATTATTTTCGATAATGGGTAGAGGAAAAATAATAGTACGGATGCCCGTTTGTCGCCCCGAGAATCACAATCGCATTCGATCGAATGCGATTGTACACCAATAGCAGCTAGTTAACAACACGATGACGTACAATTTGGACAACAAAAAAATACCTAAATTTATAATTTATAAATGACCAACCATAATAATACAGATGATAGATTTGAAGGTGTTATAATATTATGTACACTCGTGAGATTCAGTTAAAATAAAAATGCGAAATTAAATTTTCAATATCACCGTTTACACTAAGTCTTGTTTTCCATGAACAATTTTTGCTCTATACCGATTTTTGCCCACTGACGAATAAGGTCACTCGATGGTGTGCGATAGACCGGAATTGACGACCGTTTTTTCTCTCTGTTACATTATCATTACAGACACAGCCCGGCATATTTCTGCCGGACCGACGCCGTTCATTGTTATAATTATTGTATCAACGCCGCGTGCACACACACACACACAGACATACACTCTAGATAGAAGACGGTGGATAAATAATGAATATTATTTAATCGATTGAAAGCTCAACGATGTATCCAAGCTCCGGCAATAACTTTATACTTGTACAACCCATATAAGTGCACCGCGTACTCGGTGCTTGCGATTACGGTGAATTATTTAGAGAGCGGTTTGTCCGGATGGCAATTGAAAGATATTGCGAATACCTATTGATGCGGACGGGCAGAGCAGTAAGTAAGCTCAATATTATGTAAAGAAGGTGAAAAACGTTATTAAATCTTAGCGGGCGCCGTTGTGTACAACCGGTGTACGAAAATTCCAACAAAAAAAAAAAAATTCATCAAACTCCTCTCGTGGTCTGCGTTTACCCGAAACGCAGAAACACCCTATAAAAAATCATCGGTGGTGTGTATAGGTATAGCGCAACGGGTAGTTTTGTATTATTAGGTAGGTGTACACTACAGCGCTTCGGTAACAAATTGAAATTAACGGCGGCGGCGGCGGGGTACGGGGGTAAAAGAAAAACAAGCAGTAGTCGCCCTCGAGGCATAGAGCGGTAATAGCGCGAGGAGAAAGGGCGAGATGATAAGATGCATTGTGTGTGTGTGTGTGTACCAAAACTACGGCGACGGTAAAAAAAAAAAAAAAAAAGCTTCGAGGGTTGTTTTCTGCTGTAAGTTTTGGGGGTAACGCGCCCACCCCCACCCCCCCCCCGTCAGCGTGTCTACCCCTGACCTACATGTCGCCGTGTACTACCGACGACGGCGAAAAACCTTTTTACCCTCCCTCCCGCCCGCCCGCCTTCCGTCATTCCCTTTTTATCTCGCCGCCGCCGCCGTCACTTTCTCTTTTTCGTTTTTCAACCAACAACCCCGCGCTCACCCTACCACTGCACGACGGCTCGGCGACCGAACTACCACCGGCGTTTCTTTATTATTTTTTTTTAATTCTTATCGATTCCCCCGTTCAAAGTCCGCGCCAGACCGTTTAAACCGGCGTTAGGTTAGGTTAAGCGCTTGCCGCAGCCAACACGTACAGGTCGGTCGGACGCATTCCAGACGTGTGCGCGAGTCTGACGTTTAAACGCAAGATTTGACGAAAAAAAAAAGGAAAAAGGAAAGTTCTAAAATATCGAAAGTATGTACAAGTCGCTATTTACACGCCGGACGATGGGTCGTGGGGATTTTTATGAACAACTCTGAAAGCTTAACTTTTAAAATCTATATATATTTTTTTTTTTAACTACTCTACAAGACTAACCGGAACTGTGTATAAAATAATACCGATGTCGACGCGCGCACTTTTGTCCAAGTGTCCAACTACGACGTTCATAACAGGACAATTAATAATAACTCACCAACGTCAATGCAAACATTTAGTGAAAAACGCTGTTAATAGAGCCGTGCGCGATACTTGGTGTAAAATAAAAATGTATTTCGCAAACAGAACCTACCTGTTTAGTTTTAAATTAAGATATCGACAACAATTTCCTGTACCGAAACTATTAAAAATCGAAAATTGTGTAACAGACGTGAAGTCCTCTTAAACGCGCACATTGCTGTATTTATTTTCATAGCTGTAAAGCTATGATTTATTATATTATATTATTATGAACAATTGGATTGGCAGCGAATTTTTAACCATACAGAAAACGTGGTTTTGATTAAAAAATCCAGTTTCTTGCAACTAAACGAACAAATGTTCAATATTAAAACGTAATTTTTTTTAAAAAAAAAAAAAAAATAATAATAATTTTTAGTGAAATTCCTAGGAAATTATCCAAGATAATTTTTCCCATGACCTCTCCCTCGGGGAACGGTCTTACCCGGGACTGTTGTCTCCAACCCCGGTTTTTGGAATTCTTTGTTTTATTTTTTTGTCTGTACCCTAGTCGGAAAGGCAATGACATTGTTTGCTGTAAGCAAATTTCGCGACTGTTCCAAGAAAGAAGGGTCGTCCCGATTGATTACATTAGGTGTACCGAGGAGGGAGGACCGAGAAAAGCATTACAAACTGGAAAAGGCGGCCCGATGATTTTCCGGTATAATATCACCCGTCGCCTCTGCCGTGCAATCACTGCGCCCGGTTATTTTCATTAAACATTTTGTCCTTTGCCAAAAGTCGACATTACCGTTCAGCATCTCCTCCACGGTCCCCTCGGCCGTCTTATCCTCGTCCTGGCGAGCAAAAGTTTCACCGATGAATATTCATGCGGACGGTTATGAATATGTAATTCCGGCCGTTTTCTACGAATTTTATCACATCTTCGCCATAAGGCGAGGAAAACCAACAACAAACAAAAATGGTATCCAATTATCATCGTGGAGAAATTTGCGGAAAGTCGTCGACCGGCAAAGAGGAAAAGATACTTTTAAAAGCCAAAAGGTTCGTTCGGGCGCAGGGTTGCCAACTGTCGTTGCTGTGTTTTA